GCTGACACACGTCACATGCCCAAAACGTTAGAAAAAATTTCATGGCACGAGCCAAGCGATATACCAACATCCTCAGCAACTTCTCTGATAGTGATTCGACGATTTTCCAGAACAATTTTCTTCACTGCTTGAACGTTTTCATCAGTTGTTGACGTGCTTGGGCGTCCAGAGCGAGGCTCGTCATTGGCATCTTCCCGACCATCTTGGAAGAGTTTGTACCACTTGTAAACATTTTTTTTTACTCAGAACAGTTTCACCGTATGCCACCGTCAACATTTCAAGTGTTTCGGAGCACTTTATTTTATTTTTTACACGAAATTTGATGCAAATCCTTTAATCCATATTTTTCGATAGCAAGAAATCGCCGAGCACGCAAAACACTTATAACCTTTACGCCTCTCACAACCAAACAAAAAATGCTATACACTTGAAACTTGGTACGGATGTTCGGGAAGAGTGTACCAACATAACAAAACAAAAAAATCGATAATCGAAAGTACGTTGCCCGTGAAATTTGAAAATTCACCTTACTTTTTGAACACACCTCGTACATCTCCATCATATATGCTCACAGTTTCAGCCAGTTTGTATGTTTACTGTTTTTTTGCGAGACAGAAACGTTAGACGTATTTTTTGTGCTCGGCGATTTTCTGCTGTCGAAAACAATGGATCAAAGAGTTTGCATAAAATTTTGTGTAAAAAATGGAATTAAGTGCTCCAAAACACTTGAAATGTTGATAGTCGCATACTTACGGTGAGTCTACTTTAAGTAAAAAAAATGTTTACAAGTGGTATAAGCTCTTTCAAGATGACCGAGAAGACACTGTCGACGAACCTCGCTCTGGACGCCCCAGCACTTCAATAAATGATAAAGTGTTGAAGAAGTGAAATAAATGATGTTAAAAAATCGTCGAATCACTATAAGAGAAGTGGCTGAAGACGACGGTATCTCTGTTGGCTCATGCTATGCAATTTTTTCCAAAGCTTTGGGCATGAAACATGTAGCAGCAAAATTTGTTCTCAAACTGCTTAATTTTCAACAAAAGGAGCAACACTTAAGAGTTGTTAAACGACGTCAATGATGATCCTGATATGCTCGAAAGAGTCATAACTGGTGACAAATCATTGGTTTATGGTTATGACGTCGAAACTAAAGCCCAATGGAAGATTCCAGAAGAGCCAAGACCAAAAAAAGCACGTCAGTTTCGATCAAATATCAAGATTTTGCTCACTGTTTTCTTTGATTATCATCAAGTGCAGCATCTAGTGCATCAAGAGTTCTTACCACAAGATTGCATGGTCAATAAAGAGTATTACCGTGAAGTTATGCGCCGTTTGTGAAAAGCAATATGAAAAAAACGTCCGGAATTGTGGGAAAACAATTCATGGATTTTGCATCACGATAATGCACCTGCCCTCTAATCGTTGCTTGTGTCGAACTTTTTGGCAAAAAACAAAACCACAATCATGCCTCAGGTACCATATTCACCGGATATGGCCCCCTGCGAATTTTTCCTGTTCCCAAAACTAAAGGAACCCATGAAAGGACGGAGGTTTGGAACGATTGAGGAGATAAAGAAAAAATCGCTGGAAGAACTCAAGGCTATACCAGAAAGTGCTTACCAGAAGTGCTTCAAAAATTGGATAAAACGTTGCACAAGTGTATTATACCTGAGGGTGTTTACTTTGATAGGAACAACATAAATATTGATGAATAAATATATATTTTTTTAATAAAGATGAAAATTCACCTTAATTTTTTAACACACCTCGTACTTTAAAACCTCTATCTGCCATGACTATACATTTTTCTGGTTTTTTTATTGTTTTTCTACTTTGCTCACTGTAAATAAATGTGTATCTAAAATTCGTCCACCATACCCACAAGATATGTAAATCATGAATCCATCTGGCGAAAGCGCTATTAAATATTTCAAATTATCAAATATTTTTATATTCAGACCACGTCAATAATTAGTGAATGCTGTTAGATGGTTTTTCAATTTCTATTTCACATCAATAATAGCATGAACATGATAATACGTAATTAACTCGAAAGTAATAGGTATTAATTTATTAACAGTTTTCTTATCTGAAAAATAGATAAATGACTGCATATAATCAGCTAATTTTAACACTGTTTTACCAAAGACCTAATTTGCCTTGGTAGCACTTATACCAAATTGATTACCTAATCTGACAACTGTGTCATTCAACTAAATTTTCATTAATGTCAATTTTATATTGTCTAAACTAAAAATAATTGTTTTGAAGAATGGCTTTTTTTTATTTTATACAAAATAACGCGGTATTGGAATAATATTATGTTTTTTCAACTTTTATTTAATAAAAAATTACATTTTTGACAATTTTTTTGACTAAAAGAATAGTAATTATACCTAAGAATTATTTGAGAACAACAAAATAATCACAGTTTTGAAAGTATCTCATTGACTATACTTTAGTGAAAACTTTTTAACATGCCAAAAAAATCGAAAAATATTTTTTCTCTGTAAATCAAATTTAAACTGCAGATCTTCATTCTAAAGGTAAAATTATATCTTATTTTTCTTTAGAGTTTTCATCCATCTCACTTACTTTTGTATGTACAATACTGTAACTTGATACCAAATTTTCAGAAAAAAGTCCATGATATCACATTTTAAAGCTGAAAAAATTCTCATTCGAATTGATGAACAGTTTTTCTTCACGCCTACGGAATCTAAATTTGCAGCCTGTTAATGTCAGATGATATTTTATGATTTTTTTATCATTTTTATTAATCATAAGCCTGCAAGAAGTCTGCAATACCATTTTTGAAAGGTTTTTAGCTCTTCTTTTGAATGCCTGTTGATATTTTGAGAAGTGCCTTTTAGGTGTTGCGCAATAACATTTTTTAGTTTTTCCGATTTTTGTATTGGGTGTCCAAAAGCATGTGGAAAGGAGTATATACCTCATCGCACTGTTTACAATATGGTTAATAATAAATGTTGATCTGATCCATCTTTGGAGTTGTATTGTTACCTAATTTTCTTATTGCACTCACCGTTTTATTTCTTAAAGGTATAGCGCCAATATTGTACGTTATCTGATGTCATGCAGTAATGTAACATATATTGTATCGAATTTACACTAACATTCTTATATGGCTATTGTTTCTAGACTTATTCATGTGAATAAAAGAGATTTTGTTAGTTTTATATTCAAGTTTTTTATAATGAACTATAGTAGGTTATGATTATACTGTTACGTCTTACGACGCATCCTTTTTGTAACAAATGCACATTCGTGAAATTCAAAGCTGCTAACCTACTCGCACGTCAGCTGACGAAACGCAAGGTGAATGACACTCCGAAATAAGTGTTACGGCTTACGACGCATCCTTTTTTGTAACAAATGCACATTCATGAAATTCAAAACTGTTAAAATACTCGCACGTCAGCAAAAAGCTGACGAAACACGAGGTAAATTACACGCCTAAATAAAGTCACCAAACGCAAAATTTATATTCAGCAAAAACAAAATGTCACACCATATCGCAATACTGACCTGAAAAGAGCTATAAAAGATATAAAAAGGAATGAACAAATGACTCTCGGCAGTTGATCAGTAGTCCGTCAGTCAGTCAATAAGTACCTGTAAGACTCAACTCCGTACACACCGGTCCGACAATTGGTGGTTACTATACTTAATAAACTCGCGACTGTTACAAAGTAATATCGTGCAAGTAATTATTCAACAACCTACCCAAAACAATTCAACAAGCAGTTAGAGCCTGCTACATTTAAACAATTCAACAAGCAGTTAGAGCCTGCTACATTTATACAATTCAACAAGCAGTTAGAGCCTGCTGCATTTCTGTCAACAATTAAAAACTACGATTATCAAGGTAGTGCAATTATCAGACATACATTTCCACATACATTTATTATAAGTAAGACATATCTAACCACTAGTCAACATATTGGAACGTCTCATTCATTAGCTATTCGTAGTTGATGCACGAGACGTAACAATACAATAAAATATCGGTAATATCGTTTATATTTTATTCCTGAAAATATTTGTCAGATAATATGTTAGTAATTCAGTTAGATAATTAATATTTTGTAGTTTTTATGATTGATTCAAATATCAATTACTGCAATTTCACTACCAACAAACCACTAATTCTTATACAAAAACTGTGATATCATTACGATCTATCATATTGCAGACTATACACATGCATGAGAGAGAGAGAGAGAGAAAGAGAGAGAGAGAGAGAGAGAGAGACAGACAGAGAGAGAGAAAATATACGGCACTGACCTTCTGCAATTCGACTACCGTTTTTCGCTGTTGTCCCTGCTACCGTTGCTCGCTATCGTTGCTGCTATTGTTACTCACTATTGGTTCTATGGTTGCTGTTGTACCGCTCAAAAATGATCGCGTGAGCAGTCAGCGCAAATCCCTGTCAGTATCACCATACCCACCGATGTGCGAGCTTGACACTGTTTAAACGCAATTCAGCTACCAACCACAAATAAAACTTACATATACGTCCGCGAATATGTACCATATCCACGTACCAAAACACGAAGAGCCCACGCCAAAAACAAAACAAAACTAAATGAAAAGGAAAATCGATGTAAGAATCGGTGACAAGCGTGACTTGATAATAATCTATCCGTTACTATTCGAATTTCGTAAGCAACCGTTGCGCTCATAATAATTAACGTCTCTCTATCCATCTCTCTCGCTTTTGCGCTTCTCGTAATCATCATCCTCATTCCTTGCAATCATCGATCGCTCCTGGTTCCACCAATCAGCTCGTTTGCCACACCTCAAGCGGAGAATCAAGCAAGAGTGTATACACGCATTCTCATTCTGAAGGCAGCATTTATATAATATTGTATACACAATGCCGTTGGAATTCATAATAGAGTTATAGCTAAATAAGTTAAGATAAAGATGTACTCCATAATATTTCCAAATAAATTAGATAAGAAAATTACCTTTACCTTCAAAATACAATTACTGTTAACAAGCAAATTTCCTGGTTTTATATCTCGATGGAGTATTTTAGCCGAATGTAGATACTTTAAACCTAGAAAAAATATAACTATTATTTATGAATTATGTATCCACATCAAGCTTGAAATTTTCTTATTTATTTGACTGTTTAAAATTTAACTATGTCAAATTATAAATAATACGCAGAAGACAATCGTATTAATTTTCAATAAAATTATTTATGCAAAATGACAATTTGTTCAATTCATAGAAATTTGTAATCAGATTCTGTAAACATGAACGTACATTTTCTTAAAACAATATTTTGCTATGAATACTTTTTAAATAAAACAATTTTTTTCTATAATTAAAAAGTAGTTCTGTATTAAAATTAAAATCATTTGTTCAATAAAATTTAAGAAACTACTTTTCACACATAAAAATATGTTTTCAGTAGAAAAATACTCAAATATTCGCAAAGTAAAGATTATAACTAATAGAAACAGATCGCAAAAGTTATTCTCTAACTTAATATATTTATACTGTTACATTAACATCTCCCTAACATCATAATAATTCTTTCCGATTGTTGTTTCGATAATTTTATTAAAAATGAAAGAAATGTCCTCTTCTTCACTTAAGTCGATCCTTGACTCACCCGGTTGAAACGCCCCACTAAGAAACATTTCGGAAAAAGTAATTTTCGAAATCAAATTGCCCCACTTAGAAAAGAGGTAGAACAATGAATTTTTCGGAATTCGAATATTTATAATATAAAAGAAAGGAGCAATCGATCCGTTTGCGATTCGGTAGCTGTTAGTGTTTGTGTGTTGTCACACTTTTCCGATTTGAGGGTGGCACAGCGTAATCAAACATTACCACCCTTCTCGCTGGGCACCAATCAGGTTGGCATAGCCCACTGTCTTTCACTCCTTCGCGTTCAAATATTTGGAGATCCGGAAGTCAAGTTTGCTGCGACATCCCTGACGCACACAGCGAGGCGGAACCTTTTTCATCTAAGGCGGCGACCTCCTCGAGAGGAGTACCGATCTTTTCAAGGTTCAACGCTCAAGGAGAGCGGAACTAAAGGCTTGAGCCTCGGTTTGGGCGCGACGGGACTCTAGTTGCCCCAACGTCTACTGCGTCGGAAGCACGCAGCATACAAATCTTACGAGATTTGCTTGACCTGGTACCACTACCCCGCAGAGGCCAACCCAAATTGGGATGTCAGAGGAGAGACTCAGTCAGGGACAGCCAGAGGAGATTCCTTGGACGATCAACCAACTAAGCCTCCCTCCTGGGCTCGCGTTCAAAATACATCCCACCCTGCGATCCTGTATTAAGGGATTTCTCCCACGACTCACAGGTCCATCGCTTCGACATGCTGGGGCATGTCTCCCCATTGCGTTTCGGTCCAACCCGCTCACGCTGGTGGGTATCCGTCATTCGAAAGGTTGTTTTTACCCTGTTCCGTCCCAAAGTCAGATCTTTCAAAACTTTCAAAACTCTGTCCTTGGTTCAAAACAGGGTTCATCGCGTTCGAAATTTAGCCAGAGCCGCCATTTGGCCACCCTTCTGGGTGTTCACCGCGTCACCCCGTTGAGGCGGAGCAGTTGGCACTTGTGAGATCTACCGTTCAAAGAGACCTCACTTTAAAACGCGGGCGATTCGGTAGCACTCGTGATGCTAGAGTGAACGATTAAGAGAGAGAGAGAGAGTTCAAAGTTTTCAGTTAAACCTCAACTGTTACATACAAAAGTACCGCCAATTAGTTTTGCACTGTGTTTCACCGTTTTTCCACAAAATGTTTTAATGGGATTTTTGGATACGTGCGCGAGTGATCGCAGACAATAGAAGTCGCAGCAAAATACAGCAGCGGCGAACAGCAGCATTAATTGAAGCAGTCACCAATCTTCGTGAGCGAGGCAGCGCAGCAGGTTCCAGAAAAGCACGAATGGCTGACCACCGTAATTGCACCGCAGGGTAGGTGCACTTCCCTTTTTCTGCGAGACAAAATACTAAGGAGATTATTTTGTCTATCGCGACTGTTATTTTTGTATTTGCGCCAAGCGTTAGTTTTCGTAGTCGAATTTCGCATTCTCTCTCTCTACGTATTATTGTAAATCATTGTAAATCTTAATCGCGTGCATTGATCTTTCGGCCCGTCAAAGACTATAGTTTATTAGAGATAAACGATATTAATTTTATTCGCCGTATTACGTTATTTCATTTCCTAAAATTTAACGGATCTATCACCGGTTAAATTTTAAACCGATTTCATCTAGGGGATTAGTTGAAATAAGCATTAGATAGCAATAGATCGAGTGTCACAAGTCAGGTGTCTTAAGGCGAGTTCAACTCTTTTGGAAAGAAGACAACTAAACGAAAGTATCAAACGTAAAGATAAATACACGTATAATCATACGTGTTTAACGGAACAGCAGTTAGCTCTGCATCGTAGGACTTTGTGCTTTAATAGATTCCTTTTGTACTAGCTAATCCACCTCGATACATGGCGCCCAACCGGTATTAAAATCCGTTTAGTACGTCGAAGGTAATCGACGCACGGGAGAATGAGAGACGATTGCACGAGCGTTTAGAAAGGTTTGAGCGGATGTTAGCGTGAGATCGTGAGCGGCGCGGCCTCTGCAGGGGAAAAAGGAAATTACTTGATCTTTTTTCTTATAAATTGTTATATTTATTCTAAAAAAGGCCCGAAAGCGGTAATAATTAGTGAGTCGAAGCAATTCCAAATCGTTGTAAGTTATTAGGTGCTAGCCCGTTTGAGCCATAGTTTGGTGGATAAAGGGGGGCCGAAAGCACCTGAGTGACGATATAAGCAGAGAGCGCGACCCAAGCGTGCAGCCCAGAAATATTAGCCAGGCGGAGCAAGCAAACAGCAGGCTCCAACTATAGGTAGGATATTTTATCTAATTATTAGATAGTTTACCGGGTAAGTTTGCTGGGTGAGTCTCGTGAGTTTGGGCCTTGAAAAGGAGGCAGTAAAGGTAGTTACACGAATTAGTGTATTCCCCGCTCATACGTTGGGTGACAGGAAGCGGTAGTGGTCGAATAGGTCGAGATTTTAAACCTCGAGCACATCCTACACACGTGCGAAAGCAAGATGGCTCTGTTGTCAGTCCAAATCGATACATGGGCATTAGAGCTGACCTCCGCACAGCGCGAAGGCTACCTGGCAGAATTGGAGCTGCACAGGGATGAAAGCGGCATCCAGCAGGTGGCTAGGTTAAAGAGATGGTTGCTGGGTGAGTACAGTGTCGCAGATTTCGGGGAGACCATAAGCAGTAAAGAGGTGGCGGGGCGCAGGAGGCGCACCCGACAAGCGTGGCTCGATACGATCTGCGACGAGTTAGAAAACCTCAGCGCAGAGGAGCACAGCGACCATCCTCTGAGACTAATCAACAGGGAAGGAATAACCTTGACAAATATGTCAAAGACATTCGCCTGCCTGGATGAGGACTCGGAGATTGAAGCCAGCCGCCAAGAAGAGGATGAAATCATCCAGAGGGTACTCCACAGCCAGGAACAGGAGGAGGGGGAGAGGAGACGGAGCAAACCGGATCTAAGGTCGCAGGAATCCTGGACCCGGAAGAAGCCCCAAGGAAAATTACCCTTGAGCGAAGCCTTCCGAGAAATAGAGTACCTGAAGAAGGGGTGTGCGGAGCGGGAAGCGCAGGACATGCGCCAAAGAATACGAGAGATAGAGGACGATGCAGGCCGTTCTTCCAAGCGAGACTCGATTCATCCGCGCCCCAGACGCAAAGTGGACTTCCAGGACATATTTTCTTGCCACTACGATTCAGAGATTCCAGGAAGCACACTGGCTCCTCCAAGACCCGTCCCCAGGAAAAGGGACGTTACCCCACCGGAAGCGTTACAAAGAAGAGGAGGCGAAGAGGATCAACAGGATTACGGGAGAACCTCATCAGTTCCACAAAGAAGTCGAAACGGATCGTCTGGCACCGGTTCTTATTTATCCTCAGGGCTCTCCACAACCCAAGATGTTGGAGAAATTGTCCGCGGATGGAAATTGAGGTTTGCGGGCAGTAGGGTACAGAGCATGGACACGTTTCTGTCACGGTTAGAAGATCTGCGAGCGGGGGCATGACAAACCGACGAAGTGGTGCTTTGTTTCGTATCGGAGATCCTCAAAGGTATCCCGAGGACCTGGTACGATAACAACTAACACCAGTAGCTAAGTTACGCCGAATTCGTCGCCGATGTCTGAGAATGGTTCGGCATCAGTACGCAACAGCAACAAAGGCTGTTGCACGAAGCGTAGAACCGATTCCTGGGCGAAGACGAATTGGTGAGGGATTACGTGTCCAACCTGGTGGCTCTTGTCAATAGACTGGAATCACCAATGCCCTTGGAGAGGTTATTAGACCTGCTCCATGCAAACCTCTTTCCGAACTTCCAGATACAGCTGCGTCGTAGCGAGTTGACGTCAATACGCGAGTTTGACAGGAAGGCGACAGAAGTACAAAATATTTTGTCTTACGGTCGCCGACCACTCGTATTCACGGACCCAAACTCGACGATCTTCCCTCAGCACGCATACCAGCCGAGCAAAAGAACGGTTCGCAATAAATCTTAAACCGCTGCAGTAGCCAGCGAAGAGAAGACGCGTGCAAAGAAGAAGGGAGATCCGCAGTGCGGACAGGATGGAGAACGCTGCCAGGAGGCCCACCGAGCAGGTAACGGTATCGGATGCGCAAACCTCCTTTTCTGATAAGAAGATGGAGGAACGACTGGAAGGCATAGAGAAAATCATACGCGAAATGGCCAAGGAAAGGCAGGACAGCCCTCCAGAACAGCGCAAAAGCCGATGGCGTGGGAGAAGGAGGAATTCTCCTCCTCCCAGGTCTTCTGGCGAGCGGCGAGAAGGACAGAAGCGAAAGATCGACTTCACAAAGCCTCTCCAGTGTTCCGCTTGTGGTAAGCTGGGTTTCAGCCATAAGTTCTGCCCAGGTTGTAACAAGGGAAATGGCAAGGAGAGCGAAGAGAAAAAGTCATCTTCGTGCCTCGAGTGAGTTCGACCTCTCGCCGTGGGTCGTCGACTGGAAAGAGCAA